TGTGGCCTGTGTGTCTGTCCCGTGGTGGTGACGAGGATCACCCATTCTTGCCCCACTCCAGGTGCCTTGAGGACAATGAATGGAACTACAGCAGAGCTGGTGAGAGCTTCATGGTGCTCCAGGTGAGGTCTGAGAATGAAGTAAGTGAAAGATGGATGCCTCTGAGCCTTCAGGAAGGTAGAGGCTGGGGTGGCCTGGGAAGGGAACTCAGGGCTCCTGGCCCTTCTGACATCCCAACTCCTTCCCTTCACACCCAGGACAAGATCCCAAGAGAAGCCTTCAAATCGACGCCCTGAAAGGAGCCCCTGGCTCTCTTACTGCTTTTCATCTCCCTTATTGTTTCCCTGTCACCAACCCATAATCATACCTCTGACTTTGGTTGGAGGTCTGACCCACCAAGAATCCAAGGTTAACTTGTAGGCCAAGTGACACAATCATCCAAATGGCCAGTTGTTCTCTGTGTTGTTCCCATTCAAGACGGCTGCTTTTGTTCACAATAAAAAGTGACATTGCAGGTTGCATATTATGTGTCCTGGATTGCTTTTCCCCCGCCCCAGCTGTGAGCCATCAAGGCCAGGGGCAGAGGTCCCTGCACACCCCTGCTCCCGCCCTGCTTATCCCTGGATGTCCTTAAGCAGATCCACCAGACTGGTCCCCATAGGTACTTTGGGAAGCGATCCTCATGAGAAAGAACACGTGCTTCTTCCAGATACTGGGCTTTGAGAGGCTTTGGGACTCTGTCAGATGCTCTGCCTGGGAACCTGCAGAAGCAGGCATATAACCTGGCACAATGACATCTTCAAAAGGAGTGAGTCCTGGCTGGTAGGAGCTGTGGGAAGAAGGAAGGAAGGTGAGGGCACACAGGTATTACTTCTCTTCCCTAATCATTAGCATTTTCATAGAGTACACCATGATCAGTTTTATGACTTGCAGCCAGGTGAATGGGAAACGGGCCTTTCCCCAGCTCTCTGCAGGCTTCCATCTGTCCTCCCGTGTCACCCGCGCCACTTCCTGAAGGTGCTCTGGTAGGCCTCTGACGCTAGCAACCTGAAGGGGGAGGAAAAGTCAGCCTGTCTTCCCAGAGCACCCCTCACAGAGCCGATGCCAGATGCTTGCTCCATCTCCATGTTCTTGGGAACTTCAGCCACTGAGTTTTCACCTCCAAACAGCAACAGCAATAGCACAGAATCTCGCTTTGCAGTTGGTTCTGTGGGATCTTTCACTGCGAAGCACTGGCAATTAACAGGTCTGAATTTCAGGCAAGTGTTGAAAGGTTCATCTGCACAGTTTATGTCCCACATTCTGTTAACGCTTGCACTTTAGACAACAAGCAGGCATGAGCTTTGAAATTAAGGTAATAGCAGCGCAAAGTTTTCAACTTGTAGTCATATACAGGTTGACACAGGTGAGGTACCGCCAGTTGACAAACTGTGCCTGCACTATTTTGTGTTGGGCAGAAGTAATTACCTTGGCACTTGCCACTTTTCAATTCTTGATGTGCATTTACATCAGGGAGCCATAGGTTGGAGAGTCAATTTCTGACAAACAGATACCGAGGGGATAGATGACTTTACCTAAAGGATAATGTCAACATTGTACTTCCCTTAGGGCCTCAGTGGTCAGAGACAAGCTCCTGTAATTCTCTAAAGCAAGGGTCTTCTTACATAGCTCAGCTTCATTGTGAGGAACAGAAGCAGTCTCACGTGATGAGGCAGAGAATACAGCTCCCCAGGTTATTTCTCAAACTAGATGGGGAGGCCGGTGTTACTCTTACTTTGCATATAAATTGGTGTGAACTGCTCTTTGGAATCATTTGCAACAATGTAATCGTGAAGGCACACATAAATGAATATGTACACGCACCTTTATAGGAATGAAGTCGTAATACTGATACATCTTGTATGCATTTCATCTAAGATGTGAAATTTACTGACATAAGCTTACTTATAATACCTTTCTTTGTATAATTATTCATGCACATTCATTTTACAAGTTAATGGCTTTCACTGGGACATTTCCATACACGTATTTGTCATACATTGGTCATGTCCATGATCTTCCCTCATTCGCCACTACCCACAGGCCCCCTTCCCAGTTCCTAATAGACATTTTTCTACCTTCAAATTATCTACCACCCCCTGGCACCCATATGGGCAAAAACATGCTATACTGTTGTGTTTCTGCATCGGACTTTTTTCACTAAACATTATACTTTGGATCGAAAATATCCCCCAGAAGTCTCGTGTGTTCAGAGGTGAGGCTTTTGCAAGGTGATTTTGATCATGGGGAGGCTACACTCATCTACTGATGACTTCCTAGGTGAACGTGTTGCCAGGAGTTGGAGCCAAAATCGAGGAGGTGGCTGGGGATGTGCCTTTGGAGGGACCTCTGCCAATCTGGCTCTTTCCTTCTCTCTGCTTCCTGACTGTCATGGTCGAGCAGCTTTCGTCCCATCCGCCCATCAGCCATGCCATTTCTGCTTTGGGGCCCACTGCCCATAGACTGAGCCCTCTAAAACCTTAAGCCAAATAAATGTCTTCTCCTTTATTTGGTGGTGTCAAGCGTTTTGTCCCAGGGCTGAAA